AATCGTTTCTTATTAATTTTGAAGACTTTTGATTATTTTCATTCTTTTGGTACTTTGTTTTAGAGCGCTTCATCGGATTTGGGTAATTTGAGGCCAAACCCAAACCCAAATCCAAATCCAAGTCCAAATGAAACCCAAATCTTTTTACACCAAATCCCAAAGGTTTGGATTTGTTGCACCCCTAGTATCATCAACAGTTAGAACATGCATTAGCACAAGAAGTAGAAAATCGAGAATGGCGTGAAATCGAGAAACAACGAATTTTAGAAATCAAACGTGATACACGTAGTTATTGGGGTACAAATGCGTTAGCTGCATCCTATCGTGAAATAGAAATTCATCCAGATTTCCCTGAATTCAATATCATCAATGAATTACTGAATAGTACGATTGAGAGTCATGGTAATGAATATGGAACGATCTATGGAAAGGATCCGACGGAGTTCATTATAACGAAAATTATTCGAATTCATAATAAAAATCTGTGGCATCAATTTTGCTTCAAAAAGGTAAAAAAAACACTCTTACTTGTTTTCTTTAAAAAAGTAACTAATAACTACGAAGTGTTCTCTGTTTTGTGGATAAACTTTTCTAGAAACATAATCTAATTAATTGATTGAAAAAAACGTCCGCTGTTCAATGATAAGCCCTTAAATAAAGATGAAGTCTCATTGGATAAATTTCAATGTCCAGATATTGTGAAAATACTGAATGCTTTTATTATATAATGGTTTAAACTATTCGAAACTTACCGGAAAATTCCTATAATTGACACTACGATGTTTAAATCTTCACACACTTCATGTGATATGCCTCTCTTTCTATTTATAGTTCTTTCGATGTTGAATTCATGTTTATATGATTCTGTTTCTTTTTATTTTTAAGGAAAACATTATAGAGAAAAATGAATTCAGATTGGAGAACTCGGAAAGTTCAAAATATTTGAAAGATTACCCGTTACTAGTACCGTTGTTAGATACCAATGCAAATGAATATTGGCTATTTCATGGTACTGATGCTGACATAATACCATTCTTGTTACTGACTGGTTATGATCCTCGAATTTCAAGTTTAAATGGAATGTTTAGGGGTGGATTTTATTTAGCAGAAAACTCAAGTAAATCGAATCAATACATTCCCTGCCCTGGATGTAGAAAAAATGCAATCTTTTATGAAAGTGGATGTAGCTGTACAAAGCAAGAAGATTTGGAATTCTCAATTATTCTCTATCGTGCGGTATTAGGAGATTTACATATAGCAAAGAAATACAAAAAGGAAACTTATCGTGGTAAAGATAAACATCGAGTGTGTCGCCCACCGTACAAACCAAATTCATGCAATTTGTATGATTCGGTAATGGGTGAAAGTAAAAAATATGGTGGAGATAAATTAGAATATCGCGAATTTATTTTATATGAATCTGCCCAAGCTTATACAGAGTATGTGATAAAATTTAAAAGATCAGCAGCAAATATACATGCACCCTCAAATATGCAACAACTGAATACTAAATGGTATAATTTTCTCCAAAATACATACAAACTAAGACCAGAATAATGTTATGTTATTTAAGTTCTAAAAGAATTGATTTTATTTAAATGTGGAGTAAACTCTTAAATTAACTAATAATTCCTGATCCGATGATTTCCATGTGCATTATACCGTTTCCAAAATATTCAAAAAATAGTGTCAATAAGAAACAGAAGTCGCAAACTAGATAAGTAGAATTAGGATCATTGAAAATCTATCGATTGCGAAAGTTCACGGGTATTGACAGTGCCGGCAGAAGCATACAAAACAGAATATATGCACTGAGCGTTTATGCTATAGAAGGTGCACCAGACTTTTATATTAATTTAATTGTGCACAGTACAACGTTTGCGCCCATGTATAAATTCTCAGTGAGTCCTCCGTGCATAAGTTGAAAATAACACTTTCCTGAAAGCTTATAGAAAGCTACTAATCTGATAATCAATCAAATGCAAATAAATATTTTGTGGAAGATATGGATGTGAGTGTGGGTATGATTTAATAACACAGTTAGACCGACACTCATCTATGTCCATATTCGCACCCCAGCACTCTCCTTCACAGATATGTCCATAGAAAAGAGTGATTTCTCAATATAATTTTTCAATGGTTTGATTAATTTTCTTAAAATGTAACTTGCTGTTTTATCATTTCATTTATTTTAACCCTTTGAGTCCTGGTGGGACACATATGTCCCACCTTGAGGATTTTTTAATCCTCGAGTTTTTGAGAATCTAGGAGAAATATTTTCAATCAATGTTAGAAGCTAGCAGAGATCCGTACAAGATTGATTGAATAATGGAGTGTATGGATGACATTGAAAAATGCACCTTGCGAAGTTTTGACTCCATGTGGGGGAGGGTGGAGGCCTGCTTCTATCGAGTGTGTACCAGAGTTCACTTCGACTTCATCGGAATGGAATGAAACTTTCAGAGCTTGTAGGACTTGCATTTATAAGTATAGCTGTAGGTTCGAAAAAAATTGGAAACCTTGTGAAGGGGTCCAAATGAGGAGACAAGATAGGATCTCCCAGTCAAATTGGATCTTATCTAACTCCTATGTTACAAATGCAAGAAGTCTGACAATTTTACCATAGATGCCACTCGTTGAGGCGGTCAGTATTGTAGCGGACATTTTTTCTCCCATGTTCTGCTTTTTGGGAAAAATCCTACGGAAAATGCGAATTTTTGACGCTTTTTCGTCTGAAATATCTCTATGAAGTCTAAATAAAATTTTAACTTTTATTAGTGCTCCAGAACTGTCTAATTGTCCTCTATCTAGCACTGAAATCCCCAGCTCCGTAGCTTGTTTCTGAGCCAAATGATAAAGCCATCTTAGGAGCCTACTTTCGAAATTTTACCAACTTTGCACTTCCCTCCGATAAAACCACGGGATTGCCAAAACCTCCTGTAGTGAAACTTCATCAGCGCACCTAGCTCTACTATTCCTGATCATTTCATCAAATTTGGTTCGATAGAAAAAATTCAGAACTCAAAGGGTTAAACTCCATAAAAGCAATATTTTGACAACAGAGTGTTTCAATGTTTTCGCTTGAGCGACTAACAATGTGTTCAACACCCATTATTATATTTTTCTGAAGAATTGGTTTGAAAGGTGGTATTGGTGTTTCTCGTGGATGTAAAAAATGAACAAAGATGGCGTTATAATTAAGTAAAAATGCTCTCAATAATCGTCAGACCTAGTGTAAAGCATCTTTCGTATCTGTCGTAACTTCTTATACTGAGAAGAAATTTCATGCAACTACGTTTTACATAGAATAAAACAAAAATTAAGAACAGCTAAAGTTTTTTGCTCTGTATTAACACGTGATATTTTGGTATCTATTTCACAGATACCATCATCAAACAAAGAAACTACCAACATAAACATCACACATATCTATATCAGATTTAATAAAACCTAATAAAGCACATGTGAAATATAATGTATCAGTACATTTAATAGAAAAGTTAACTCATAAATGAAAAAATGAATCAACGTAAAATAAAATACAGACTTCCATTGCACTGCTGCATTAATATCATAATAAAAAATAAAAGCTAATGGACAAATTTTATAGAATAAAACAAAAATAGATATGTAGTGTTTATGTTGGTGGTTTCTTTGTCTGATGATGGTATCTGTGAAATAGATACCGAGGGTGTGGGTGTGGGTGTAGGTGGGTGTGGGTATGGGTGTGGGTGTCGGTGAGTGTGGGTGTGGGTGTCGGTGGGTGTGGGTGTCGGTGTGGGTGGGGTGTGGGTGTGGGTGTGGGTATCGGTGGGTGTGGGTGTGGGTGTGCGTGTGGGTGTGGGTGGGTGTGGGTGTCGGTGAGTGTGGGTAGGGGTGTGGGTGTGGGTGTGGGTGTCGGTAGGTGTGGGTGTGGGTGTGAGATGTGTGTCAAAGGAAGTACAACAACCACACCTATCCCTTCGACACACGCCTCACACCCACACCCACCCTCACCAAACAAACTTCATCCTACTTATGAAAAGACGACGTCTGACATCACAATGAAAATATGGATATGAATGTTTACCTCATATATATCAGCATTCAAACGCACACTCGTACCCTAATGTTTATTTATTTTTCAGTCTTTCGAAGAAGAAGAAGAATAAAAATTTCCCTCTAGTCAAGGCAACTAGAGGGTGTGGGCGTGAATGTGAATGCTGATACATATGAGATGAACACCTACACCTACATCCACACCTCAAGAATCTTTTAAATTGCTTAAAGAACATACTGTTGCAGTCTTCATCGATGAAATTTGCTTTCAGCATAATTCGTCAGTAAACCTATTTTTTCTATTTGATTCTAATTCAGAATACGAAGATTCACATTTCTTTCGATGAGGAAATAAGGAAAACTCGATAAACAATTTATCGAAACATTTGAACTTTTTCTCAATTCTTTTTAAAGATTCTTGAATATTCAATGTAAATCATTCCATATATTTCTCTTTATGTCTTTCATGAACTTCTATTGATATATGCAAATTAATCGTTTTTAAACATTTGAAATCTCTTAGATCTGAATTAGTTTTATTTGCTTATTGATTCTAAATTAAAATTTAACTACCGTCTATCTTCCATCGATATCTTACAAAAAGATATACTCAAAGGTTACATATCTCTATAATATATAGTTTATTCATCAACTCATATCACACGTATCAAGAAAGATAAAAGAAGAAAATTGTTTTCTTTTCAATTGAAATCGACTAACAAATTCAACGAAATTTGGGATCAATTTCGAATTGCTCTATTATGCAATATGTAAATATTCTTTTTTATTGAATAAACAATTGTACGTATTAACTTGAATACTTGATTCTTATACAAGCGTTGAATTAATTCATCATTCGATAGTTCACTATGAAATTGAATTTCAAATATTTTTCATGTTTTCTTTAGACAACTAAAATGATTTTATTTTTAAAATTATTTTCTGATGAATGAAAATTGTAATTGCATGAAACTATAACTTATTCGTATCGAATAAAGTTAATGTTGTTCTAATTGTCAAAAATAAGATTTCTGCTATTGACAACAATTAGAAAAAAAAGACAAGGTAAATTCTATTTACATAGATTTTTTTATACGAGAACAAAAGGTTAAATTAAATATTTTATAAATTGACTTAGATATTCTGATATTTCCAAAACTTGAAGATAAATGAAAAACTATTCTGACTTGTGCAATGCGAAAATCCATTTTTGATTATTGTACAATTCTATTTGTTAGCAGAGAATACGTATCGACTCTGATGTCTGCTCAGTTGTGTGAAGACGATTGTTTTCGAAAGCGTTTAATTCAATTTTCTTGAACACTTTTGTCTTTGGAAGTAATCCTAATATCTCAATGAAATCGTTTAGATTGATTAATGAAACGACTAAGTACAGTTGAATAATAAATAACGTACTAGTCATTCATTGGAGAATTAATTTCTTTAGTTTTAGTGTAATATACTTACTGTTTTGTTGATCTGCTTGTATGTAAATAAGTCAATTCCAATCAATTTGATTAGCATAAACTAGGATAGTTTTATTTGTATCTTTTTTCCGTAAATTATTCAAATTTCTCTTGAATATCGTTGATTTTCTTTTTTTTTTGTTTAAGTGGAAGATTTTAGTCTTAAATTTCTAATTTTCAGTTGACTCTATCCTAAAGTTAAACGAATTTTTTTTTTGGAGAAAAAGAAAGAACATGCCCATCGCAGTGTTTGCATGGTTTACCTCTTATACATTCAGAACCTCCATAAGGTAAGCCCTAGAGTCTAAATAATAAAAAATTTCATGTGAAATGGTTCACAATCAGATAGTCAACATTCTTAATGTGTTTGTTCACTGGCAAGAAGAAAACCGTGGTAGATCTGATAGGCATGTTCTTTCGTTTT